GGAGCTGCCAGTCATTCCCCCCTTCCCAAACAGAAACTGGGAATGTGGCACGTTCTGGGAGCTGGGAATGCTGAAAGCACTGAGGCAGGCAGGGAGGAAGAGTGGGTTTAGGTTCATCTTGCTCCCACCAGTTTTTTCCACTTGCAGAAAGGAGCTGGAAGCAGCAGCAGGGAAGCCCACAGATGTTTGAAGCTCATTGCTGCATCTGGTGGCAGCTTCTGGTGCCTCAGGAGATCGAGGAGTGATGTGGGAATTGGAAATTCAAGCAAAGTCATGAAATTAAACAGCAGTCAGACGATTCCCCCCGTTCAATCCCAGCTCCAATGCAGCAAATCTGCATCCTGAGGAAGCAGATGGTGCTGTGGATGCAGATCTCACCACGTGGGGAGGAGGAGAGACAATTCTGACAGCTGAAGGCACCAGCCCAGGCAGCTATTTTGGGCCAAAGCATGCCATTCCCATCACACCCAACATATTGCCCAGGAGAAGCCATTCTACTGATGCCTAAGGTTTTAGCTTTATATTTTTCACATTCTGTGCTGCTTTAGTGTGCAGTTCTGAGCTTCACATCAGGGCATGGTGAGCTCTCTGCACAGAGCAGGGACACAAAACAATTCCTGCTCCAGCTGGGCACCAAGGACAAATGATCCCAATCTCAGCCCAGGAGCACAAAGCCCGTGGGCTGCAGAGAGAAAAACAAGCAGGGTGGGACTGCAGGGGCTGCAGTGGGATTGGACACTGAACTGCAATGTGCACATGGAGCAGAGCTGAGCCCAGGGAGAGACCCCGGCAGCGCTCGTGCATTTTGGGGCCATTTGGGTTCATCCTGGGGGCAGCCCTGGCTGGGCTCTGGTGCTTATTCATCTGCCTTGCCTGAGGAAATCTAATTTAACCCAGAGCTGATTTGTCTCAATCCTGCCTCAGAAGGCTTCACTTTCTGGGTTTTATGAAGAATTTGGTAAAAGGAAGGCATCAGGGCTGGAATGAACCTCCGGAATAGCCAAGGCACTTAGTGAAATCTGGATTTTAAACTCTGCAGTCAGCTGAGGGCACAGCTAATTTTAGTCTCAGAGAAGTCACCAAAAAAGGCACCTGTAACCTCAGCTCCCCCCTCACCTCTGCTTTGGGACAAGCCTGGCCTAAGGATTTAATCCTGAATTTAAGCCTGTCATGTTCTGCATCCAAAAAATGCCTCAGAATGAAAATGTGAGGCATTCAAATGTATAAATCAATTTTGCAGCCCTTTGCTTAATGCAAATTAAACAGTCTGCACCACAGACATGAAACAGCTGCTAAACAGAGTAAAAATTAATGAAGAAGAAAATGAAGATTGCTTTGCTGCTGCTTTTTTATCAATTTGTGCCCAGATCTGAGGACGGTTTGTGAGAACGCTGCCAGTTTGCAGAGCGATTCCAGATTGCTGGGCTCCTATTTCCATTTTCCTGGCGTGTCCTGGAGTTCTCTGGGAAAGTGGGGAGTTTGTGAGGCATTAACCCCCCAGCAGTGCTCCACAAACACTCCCTGGAGCCTGCGCTCTGCAGCAGTGCTGCTGGGTAAACCAAAGATCACCTCGGGGAGCAGCTCTTGCTGTCAGGAGCATTTTCAGCCTCACCTGCTGGGTGTTCTGGTGGTTCCTCGGTCATTTCCCAATTTTCAGGGAGTTCACACCTGGAAAATGAGTGGGAAAATCTGTTTGGAATCATCTCTGTCTCTCAAAAGATGTCATGCCCTGGAGAGGTGGACTCCAGTATTTTGGGGCTCGTGCTGCCACCAGGCAAAGACTCCCAGTGACTTCAGTGCCCAAATTTTTGTGCCAGCTCCAGAACTGGGGTAATTCAAGGCTCTGTAAGTTGGCAAACCCCAGAATTTTCTTCTGAAATACATCCCAGGCTAAACTTTTCCATGAAATTAACATTGGCATCTTTCCTCGATTGTACCACCAGGTAGTTTGGCTCTGATATTCAAAGTCAGTAAGAAGATGTAAAAGTTAATAAACAACATCCCGTAGTTTACTTGGGAAATGAGATAAGGTTTTGTTTTATTAAAATAATGTTAATTCCTGGTATAATTTACATCTTATAAAATGAAAAAAATTATATTTAAAATGAAAATTCTATATTTATAATCAAGAATTATATTCCCTGAGTAAGGCAGGTGTGGTATTTCCACCCCAGGCACCTGCAGGTATTTAACCCGGATGTCTTAATTTTTATAATTTATATATAATAATTTCACTGCTAATTTATAACTTCATTATTATATATAATAATTTCACAATAGTGAAATGCATATATTTCATTGTATATGTTATATATATTTAATTGTATATATTCTATATAATAAACATAATAATTTCACACACTGCACTGTGTTTTGGTGCATGCCATTCCACGGCAGAATAATGTGTTTAGTAAAAGATATTAAAACATCATTCAGAAATCTCCCTGAGCCTTTCCTTCCACAGACACCAAGGTCACTTGATGGTTCTGGGAAACAAATAAAAATCAGATTTTACACTTGAAGATGTCCTGGGATTGAGAATGCTGGAAAAGAGAAAGGAGCAACTTGTGTGGAAAATTGCTGTTTGCATTTCACATCTGCAAATGTTCCTCTTCGGGGGAGATGCAGAACAGGAGTGCTGGGATGAGACTTCTCAGGGGGAGGCAGAATTTCCCTGCAATTCCCCGTGTTTGCTGCGAGGTGAAATCCTGGCAATAACATCAGGAAATGTCGTTTATATCAACAGAGATGAAAGCGCTGCCAGGAGAGCTCAGGCTCGTTTACTGTTACCCAAACTGATGCACAGAGCAGGTTCTGAGATTGCCACCGAGTTATTCCTCTGGAGAGCTGTGTCACCCTGAATATCCCAAAATCAACTTTTACACCTATCTGGAAAGGAAAGCACAAGTTTTATTGCATTGCTTTGCAGTCCTGACATGAAAAACTCCACTTTTACAGCTGTTATTATTGGTGCTGATTCTTCTATTCTGATTTTGTATGTCAGCAGAGGAAAGAGAGGTGAATCCACAGGTTTGGGGGAATATTTTGCTGTAATATTTTCTAATCTTCAACTAGTCACATTATTGTGCACATCTGATTTATTACAATGGAAGTATTTAAACCTGAAAATCCTGAGAAAACCTCTTAACTGGGCAGCAGAATTCAGCAAACAGCAACAGCAACATCCCCCAAATTTTAGCATCCCAAGAATATTATAGAACAGATACCCTCCAGATTTTGGGAGTACTTTTACAAGGAAAATCCAGCAAATTAAATGTTGTAATGATTTTTGGCGACCCATCAGTGTTGTGTCCTCACTGCTCATCCCCAGGGTGAAATAATGGTAAATTCAGTTTGCAACTGCAGGAAATTAAAGTTTTTCACTGTTGTTATTTTTATTTAAGTTCTCTTTGTAAGTACATTCACAAAATGAGGCTTCTTCCAGTCAGAACTATTGAATTTTATTTCATACAAGCAAGAAGTGACTATGATAAAAACGCTGGTATTATTCAGGCTAGCAGATAGGGAGAGTTTCTCCATTATCTCACTCTCTATTTTCATTCTGGGTACCACAAAAATTGCCTAGAAAAGCTGAATACTGCTCTGGGAAAATTGGGAAGATAATTCCCAAGTTTATTCTGTTTATAACCCACAACTCCTGTGTACGTGAATTCCCGTTTGCAGTATCAGATTATTTGTTTCTGTAGCCAAAATATAAAAACAAATGATGCCCTGATGGTTTCGCGCTACGGGCGAGCAGGAGGAGGAGCTGTTGAGCAAGGAATGCTTTTCCCAGTTTTCCAAGCGGATAATTCTCTAGTTTATTCACAAACCTGGCTCAGAAATCGCTTTTCATTCCTCTCACAAGGGACCAAAAACTAAAATTAAATAGCAGCTGATACCCCGAATATTGGTGAGGTTTTTGTTGCTGATTATTTTGAAATAATCTGCGAGTGCTGAAGTTCTGCTTCGCCCCTGGGAAGAGCTGCTGGAGTGCAGAACGAGCCCTGAAATTGGGAATTTTTGGCACAAGCCACTGGGCTGGCTCAATAATTATTATGTTTTTATCTTCTTGTTTTGTTTGTGTTAGGGTTGGGATTAAAGTGTTTGAGATGTATTTTGTGTTTGGTCTTGGATGTTTATTATTTCTTATCTGTATTACAGTTTTATAGGTTGTGAGTGCTGTGGTGTCTTATCAATAAGTTAAGTCTTTTAAGGATAAACTGTCTAATTGAGAAATGACACAAATTTTCCCCAACAAAACGCTACCTTGACAAACGCTACTCTCGGTTTAGTAACCGACAAGATCCTGGTTTGTTTCGGTTTTGACTGCGAGCTTGTGAGGGGACCTGGGCAACACACGAGGGTGAATTTCATCCTTTAGAAGAATCCCAGCACGGCTTGTGCTGGAAGGGGCTTTAAGGGGCATCTATCCTATGGGCAGGGACACTTCTCACTATCCCAGGTTGCTCCAACAACACTTTGATTAAATAACTTTGATTAAATAACTTTGATTAAATAATTCTTAATTAGACTTTTAAATAATTTTGATTAAATTTTTTATTAAGAATAATTTTAGTTTGATTAAAATCACTTTGAATAAATAATTTTAATTACATTTTGATTAAGTAATTTTGATTTTAAGGTTTTTTTTTTATTAAAATTACTTTGATTAAATAATTTTTTTCATTTTCCTAGCTCTTTTCCTGGCCTCTCCCAGCCTACAACTCCCAGCATGCCCCACACGCCGCCCTCACCGCCGCGCTCCCGCGGGGGCTGCCGGGATTTGTAGTTCGGCGGCGCGGCGGGGGCGGCGGCCGGGACGCTCCGCCCGGGTGGAAGGAGGGCGGGCCGGCGGCGGGCGCGGGGGGCACGGGACGCAGGTACCGCGGGCGGCCCTGGCAGCCTCCTCCCGGCCCGAGCCGCGGCACAAGCGGCGATCAGCAGCCATCCGGCGGCGCAGCGCTCGGCGCATCCATCGGCGGGCCCGCGCCCTCGGCCGAGCATGCACTGAGCGAGCGGCGCCGGGCTCGGAGCCGCCCCGCTGCATGGTGTGCGGAGACACGGTCGCGATAATAAATGATAGAGGATACAATGACTTTGCTGTCTCTGCTGGGTCGGATCATGCGTTACTTCTTGCTCAGACCGGAGACCCTGTTCTTGCTGTGCATCAGCCTGGCACTGTGGAGTTACTTCTTCCACACGGATGAGGTGAAAACCATTGTTAAGTCCAGCAGGGATGCGGTGAAGATGGTGAAGGGCAAGGTGGCCGAGATCATGCAGAATGACAGGCTCGGGGGTTTAGACGTGCTGGACGCTGAGTTCTCCAAGACCTGGGAGTTCAAGAGCCACAACGTGGCTGTCTACTCCATCCAAGGCCGCAGGGATCACATGGAGGACAGGTTCGAAGTAATCACCGACCTGGTGAACAAGACTCACCCCTCCATCTTCGGGATATTTGATGGGCACGGAGGAGAGGCAAGTGCTCAGCTGGAAAAAAAACCAATAATACAACAACACCAAAAAAAAAGGGGGGTGTGGGAGGGAGGATGGTCCAAGGCATGTGTTCTCACCCACCAGGTTTGTGTGGTTGTCTTGTACATTGTGGGGAGGGGATTTCCTTGCTTTTTGGAGGGGGGTGGATGTCTGTAAAAAAGGGCTGTGTAATCCTCCCTTGCCTTTATCCCTCCTTACCCCTTCCGGGCTCAGCACGGCACAAATGTGCCTCTACCCCCTTTGCCCTCTGCAGTAGTAGAGGTTCAATTGAAGGAAAGGCTGCTGGAGGTGGCTCTGACGTGCGTGGAATAAGGATGATGAGCACAAACTCCCCGGAGTCATCTTTTGTTACAGCCAAGTGTGGTGTGATGTGATTTTGGCAGCGGGCTGCCTTCTCCCCCGGCCACAGCCGGCAGAGGTGAAACAGCAGCGCTGCTGGAGGATGCTGAAGTGTGTGTGTGTGTAAAATGTGCTTGGGGTGATTCCCTGTCCAGGGAGGAGCGCGGTGTTTGGGAATTGTGTGGAGTTCGTGCCATGGAAGCGCGCTGTCCCTGTCCCTGCCCTGCTGGCATGGTGGCACTCGCCGCCGGGCCGGGCAGGCTGAGCATGGGGATATTCCGTGGGCTGCGGATGACAAATGTTGGAGCTGCAGCTTCCTCTCTGCCTTTTAGGATGTGGTGCTGCCACGCAGCTCTTGGTGTGGCACAAGGCACGCGTTTCGTAACTGTGGGAAGGACGAGGAGTTTGTCCTTGTGTGGCAGAGCTGGGTGTGAGGGAACCTGCTGGGCTGAGGGGCAGAAATGTTGGGCATTTTCTGTGAGAGAGGCTGTTCCTCCTGCTGCTCCCCCGGATCCAAGAGTCCAGATCCTTCCTGGAAAAGCTCTGGCAGTGCCCAGACACTCACGGGGCACAGGGGTGGCAGCTGCTGCCCTGCGAAACCTGGAAGGGCTCCTGGAAAATCCAGGCCGTGGACTCGGCATCGGGAACCGCTGCCAGGCTCGGGAAGGGACCTGGGCTCTCCTCGCAGTGTCACCTGTTTTTCACCCTTTAAATTAACACAACTTCTTTGGGTATTGAGGATTGTCAGCTTCATGCTGAGCCCTGTTTTGGGGTATTCTGTCTGATTTCAGGTGGGGCACAGCAGTGCCAGCTCCTCCTGGCGTTCTCAGGCCGATTCCCTGGGCTTTGGAGGAGCGTGAGTGGCAATGTCCGTGGAACACGGGTGACAGTGTCTGTGGAACACGGGTGACAATGTCCATGGAACACGGGTGGCAGTGTCCTTGGAGCATGGATGACAATGTCCATGGAACACGGGTGACATTATCCGTGGAACACGGGTGACAATGTCCATGGAGCATGGGTGGCAGTGTCCGTGGAACATGGGTGGCAGTGTCCGTGGAGCACGAGTGACAATGTCCATGGAACACGGGTGACAATGTCTGTGGAACCTGGGTGACAGTGTTTATGGAACACAGGTGGCAATGTCCGTGGAACACGGGTGACAATGTCCATGGAGCACAGGTGGCAGTGTCCATGGAACACGGGTGGAAATGTCCGTGGAACACGGGTGACAATGTCCATGGAACATGGGTGGCAATGTCCATGGAACATGGGTGGCAGTGTTTATGGAACACAGGTGGTACTGTCCGTGGAACATGGGTGGCAGTGTCCATGGAACACGGGTGACAATGTCCATGGAGCACAGGTGGCAGTGTCCATGGAACACGGGTGGAAATGTCCGTGGAACACGAGTGACAATGTTTATGGAACACGAGTGGCAATGTCCGTGGAACACGGGTGGTAATGTCCCTGTGTCCCAAAGCATTCCCAGCTTTTCCCGGAGGAACAGGAGCCCTGAGCAGTTCACTGGGGCCATCTGGCTCTTTTGTGCCCGGGAGGAAGGTGCCGGGGCTCTGCCTTTGTGCGAGCCGAGTTTCCTTGTGGGAACCGAGCAGCCCAAACAATTGGGGATGTATCTGAGTGGTGTTTTTAAACAGAGTATTCCGAGGCTGTGGGATCCAGGGTGAAAGGGGGATCTGATTTCTTTCATTAATTTTGTAGCTTGCCCTGCACGAGATGGCAAGCTGAGGGTATTAAATAACCCCCAACTAACACAGGGAATGTTGGCATTTAGCTAATGTGCCCCGTGGATATTGCCTGCTTTGTTGGGCATCTTGAAATTCCATCCGTGGCATGCATTTATGTGGGATCCGTGGAAAACTCACTGGCCTTTTGTATTCTGCTTCCTCAGAACTTGTTCTGATGGATTCAGTGGCAAAGTACAGGGAGGTTTTTAATTTTGAAAGGTTCAGCAGAACTCTCCACAGATCTTTCTAAATTTAGTGGTTTATAAATGTATCCGTCTCGCATCTGTTATTCATAATGGAATCCTAAGTGTTCTTCATGGCCTTTACTCCTACAAAAATAAGTTGAGGACCTAATTAGTTTCAAGATTTAAATTTTAGGTAAAACTGTTTCAGAAGAACATGAGCTGCGTGCTGTGCATACAGCAAAAATATATATATATATAATGTGGAACGGGGTTTATTCTAAGCAGGTTTTGTAATTTTGAGTAGAAAACAAGGGAGAAGAAAAAAAAATTATGCTCTTATTTAATCCCTAGTACATAATAATACATTTCAAGTCTCTATTTGAATGAGGGGTTTGTATGTCTTCATTTATTTTAATTTTTTTTAAAAATCAAATACTCTGTGAAACACTTATCTGCGCACGTAGCGAAGCCTTTGTGAAGGTTAAATTTTCCATATGGACTCCCATTACATTTCTTTATGTATATTTAAATAAAGAACAGCTGATCCCTGGGGTTACATGTGAAACAAACTGTTGTATATGGGGAGAAATTTGGTTTTCCAAACAGCCCATACCAGAAATGAGATGCCAGATTAATTATTTCCGGCTACATGGAAGGGAGCCTGTCTCCATTAATTACTCCCTGCCATATCCCATTGAAGTGGAAGGATGGAGGAGCATGATTCAAGCAGCTTCAATTACTGTGCACTGCTAATTTATGAAGATTTCTGAGCTTTCATATCCCAAACATTTTGCATAAATTCGACTTTTCTCTTATGTCATTTCCTCTTCCAGCTTCCAGTTTTAGCCTGGGTAGGTTGGCAGACATTGCTTTGGATTTTGTGGGTGGCTTGAGAAAGGAGTAAGCAAAAATACTTATTAATGCTCTGGTTTGCTGCAGTAACTTCTGAAAGGCAAGAATATTTCAGAGAGAAAATTGGATGTGGGGTGTGTAATGCAATGTTTTATTAAAGCTTAGTTTCTTGGAGAAACTTCTTTTATTAAAGGTTAGTTTCTTGGAGATATAATGGTGATGATGATGATGATGATGATAATAATAATGATGCAGAGCAGGTAGAGGTCAAAGAAGACCTTTCTAGATCTTCCTTTCATCCTTCTAGATTTAGAAAGAATAAAGAAGAGTTGCTGCCTGTTGTCTCACTGAATGACTTTGGCCAAAGGATCACCCTTCAAGGTGATTGAACTTATAAAAGAACAAATTTTATTTTCTTTCATCAGCTTATTTTTAAGGTTTAAAAATTGCTTGAATGGTTTTTTTTCCTTGTCCTTTTTCCTTTATTTAGGAATTTTGGGGCTGTCCAGGTTGGAAGATGGAGCAGTATCAAACTCCACAAATGACCAAATAACAAATGATGAGCTGGGAAGCTGAGCAGAGGGAAGGCTGGCTGCTTAATGAGAATGATTTCCCTATTTTAACTACCATTTACTCTCAAATATTTAAGGTTTAAGCACGCAGTTTAATGAGATCTCAGCATTAGACAAGGGCAAAATAGCTCAGCTCCCATCTGCAGTTTTACAGTTATGGCTCTGCTGTAAATCATTGGTTTTTTCCTAACCCTGTGGGGTGAAGGTTTTAAAAATAATTATGGTAATAGATAGTACCTTTCCCTGCCTGGGCTTGTTTGCAGTTGTAAACGGATGTGGGAAATTACAGCTCAGTAACTGTCTCATAAAAAATGTCTCTTTTTATTTCCCTCCACCTCCCGAACGGGGACATGGCAAGACTTGTCCCTCATGATGTGGAGCTGTGGCTAAGAGCTTTTTCTGCCTGGAATAATTGGGTTCTGGAGCTGCTGAGCCAGTGTTTTAGGATGGAAAACACACCTTTTTATTTTTATTTGTTTTTCCCAGCACAGGGAAAGGCTGGGGAGCAGGAATGGGGAAGGAGAGAACGGTGTGGAAGTGGCTCCGTGGGGCTCAGGACCTCGATATCAGCAGCCCCAAGTGCTGGCAGAAGTGTCTGGTTACTGATTAACTAAGAAAGACACAAAAAAAAAAAAAGAAAAGGAAAAAAGGGAAAGGTCAGAAGATAATGGTGGAGAGTCCTGAGGAGCCTCGTGTGAGGCTGTGGAAACGGGAATGCTGAGGTGAGGCCTGGAGGAGAGGGCACTGTGCCAGCTGTGTTTGAATCAACCTGCTGTGCATTCCCATCCAGCTCTCTGATCCTGACTGCAGAAGGTGTTTGTGCTGTGCTGAAAGAGGAGAAAGCTGCCAATTTCACAATTTTAGTTCATTTTTTGGTGGTTTTTTAATCTGCTAATTCTCATTCCAGCCCCATCCCTGTGATGCTGAACTACTTAAGCAATCTCAGCAATGAAAATTTTTCTATCAGGCTTTTGAGTCAAGGCCGTTCAGGATTGATGGCTTGGGATTTTATAAAAGGTAGGAATAAATCAAACAAAGGCTTTGGAGTTTCTCTGGATGTTACAGCCCAGTTGTAAGGAGAAGTCTTTGAGGCTTTGCAGTTTTTAAACAGAAACTGCCAGCATGGTTTTCCTTTTATAGTAATTTCCTTTGGTTTCTAATCTAGAATCCAGTGCAGTGTGCCCAAATCTTTGAATAAATATTTACGTAGGTGAGGTCATGTTGATAGGCAAGTCCCAAATCTGCTTATGAATTCCCCTCCAGTGGCCTAAAACACAAGTCAGAAA